ACTACAACCTTTCGCCAAGCACACACACCAACTGCTGTCCTTATCGCATTCTGCTTCATGCTTCGTTCCCATGCACTTTCGCCACCGAGTCACTGAAAACTCGCAGTCGCAATACCATAAAGATTATTATTTAAGAATCAAGGGCAGTGTTGATCTGCGGGGCGAAAAAGACTGCAGCGAAGATGACCACGCGCACGCGGCCGCGACGTGTTGTACGTGCTTCAGGGCCAGACTACTGCAAGCCACCTGCAAGTGATGAGAGCAGCATGAGTCCATTCAGAGTACAATCCGTGCATGCGAATGGCACAGGTTGAAATCCGCCGACTCCCACAACAAGGCATTCGTGTTTTCGAATTGGCTCTCAATACTGAAGAGTCATGCTTCGGCCATATCGTGGGATGCGGATGATGTGTAACAATCCGCCTTGGGTTCAATCTTCAGCCTAAGTACCTCGCCTTTATGATAGAAAAGGAGGGGTCATCAGCCATAGCTGAGACGCACAAACAAATGATAAGAGGACAGTCGAGGCTCAATGCGCAGGAAGTCGAAATATTTTAGACACTTTGCTTTGCTTCCCGCCTCACCAACACAGTCGCATCGACGTAGCATTATCTGCGCACACGATGGATTCTGTCTGTGAGGATGCCCGAGTCGATGTTTTTCGCACAAGAACCCATTGTGATATGCAGTCTTCGGAAGCAAGCCTTGACCGTGCCAATCCTGCCTCGGCATGCTATTGGAAAGGTTCTGGTGGGGTCCTTGGACGGGGAAATCGAAAGCCCAAACCGTTCCCTTGCGTGAATGGAACCTCATTTCCTCCAAATATCCAAAAAAGGAAGGTACTCGAGCAAAACGTAAGTGCAGGGCATGACTGGTATATAATCAACGGTACAGATGGACTCAAGGCTAGGAATTTACTCATATGGTAGTGAAAGAATCTCTTGAAACTTCCTACATCTGTCCACTAGCCCCAAGCTATCTTGACTTTGAGAACGCTGTGAAGCCATGGCGATGATAATAGCTAGCTTTGCACCCAGCTACACTCACAGCCTCTAGATCCTTTCTCTTACGCTGTTTATGGTTAGCGCATGCATGCGAGCTACGCACGGCTCCTTGTTCCCCAAACTTGCTACCAATCTTCAAAGTGTCTACTGAAATATGTATAGTACTCACTCACTCAAACTCGCCATTAACAGGCTCCTATTCTCCCAACCCACCAAATTCCCAGGTGCGAAGCTGTGGGCTCTGACACGGATACCTCATCATGGTCTCGCTTATGAAAGCAAGGCTGCCGCAAGATACTCGAAATGTCCATGAGTAATGTGGTGACGCATTTCACGTAGCACCAAACGAAGCCCCTTTTGCCATACCAGACGCCTGGCACCACGTACATGCAATTCGGTCAGGCCAAACCCCTTTGGCTAAAAATCCAGTGTGGTACAAGCCTCCACCAGGACAAACTACTGAATCAATGGTAACCACGTCCAACCATACAGATCATGCTCGTATGCGTGGTTTGTTGAAGGGACGCATTCAAAGGAAAGGAAGACATCACGCTGGATTTCGTCCAAGAACTGCCGTACCTTCGCGCCATCATCTCCAAAGGCCTGCGGCTCTGCCACCGGTATCCATAGGCTTGCCTTGTCTCGTGCCGATCGGGGCCGACACAGTCTGCGGGCATTGGCTTTTCGGCAATGTAACATCCCTTTTAGCACCCCCAGCGTACGTACGTACACCCAGTCACTGCTAACAAAGCCTCTGTCATACTTACAGACGCACCTCTCCGTCCACCCCTACACAATCTACATCTCACCCCAACGCTTCCACCAGCCCGGATCCTTCGTTCCGGAGCGCTGGCTGCCGCACCCGTCTTGCCTGGCGGAATGGGCCTCGGACCATCTTTCCGCCGTGCTCTTTCTCAGCCTCGGTCCTGCATAGGGCAAAATCTAGCCATGTTTGAAATGTGGCTCATCCTCGCGCGGCTTGTTTGGGTGTTTGACATGAAGGTCGTGCAGTGAAGTATTTTGGATTGGACGACGTTGAAGTGTTTCAGTACCATACAGAAGCAGCCGGTCAGGGTGAGGTTGAAGGCTCGAGTAAGCAAAGGACAGGAAAAGAAGGGTCATTTTATCTATCTTCAGCGATTGTATCATAAGAGCCGCTCGATCTATCTGAAACAGTTCCGCATCAGGGGTAGGTAAGTATCCACCAGAAGACAAATTGAAAATCTAGGCTACGTACATCCTCTGCGCGTGTGCCGTTGTCAACAATTGATTGCAGTGGCGTGTCTTTGATGTGGGCCATGATGGTCATACATACACGTAGATACATATATACATACGTATCAAAGCAAGAATTCATATAGCGGGTGAAACACACGGAGTCCGCAGTCGTACGTACAAACTACGGGGAAAAGGTTCGACTGTGTTACTCGTCAGGGCTCTGTGTCGTGAAGCCAGAGCCAGATGGATATCGGGTCGCGCTGGGGAGAAAAAGGACAACAGGTTTTGCCTCAAATGCAAATAGCCACTTTGCATACGCCCTCAAGCCGTGACACTGAGCGTAAAATTTCCCTTTCACCATCCCCTACCCCAGCGCGCCTCTCCTTCCCCCCTGGACAATCTACGAGTGGATTCTCTAACCGAGTGAGTGAGCTCGCAGCTCCCAGCAGCCAAGAGAATCCATCAACAGCTAGCTAGCTAGCTACATCAACAGCAACCCACTCCAACATCCACGAATCCCAAAGCGCGACCTCAACCCCTCAAAGACGGCGCCAAACCGACGCGTCTCCTTTCCCGTATCCGTCGGACACCGCTTCCGCCGTCAGCTCCGATGCTGCTACACTCCACCACGTTTTCGGACTCCGCGAAACGTAACGGATCACCGCATCTGGTCCCCACAGCACCGATTGCCAAACCACACGGCGTAGACAGTCTCTTCCGCCTCGTACACTTGCCGTCTGACGTCAGATGGATGCGAGTGCAACCGCCGCTTTAGTCCTCGGCCAGCTCCTTGAACCATCTCACACACCCCCCAACTTATGCATGCATGCTCTCACCTCGCAGAGACACGAGTCGCCGTCGCCAACGCCGATACGCACAACGCCTCCTCTTCCCCCGCGCTCGAAGTTGCAAAATCGATCGGAATCTCACCAGCCGTGCCGTTTGCGGAGAAAAGAATCAGGAGGTTTATCTATTTTAGATGGATACATGAGGGTTCATGATTGGTGCACGGGCGCAGAGCGCTCCTCGCGGGCGGGAGGGAACGGGGGTTACTTACGTACTAGTTGATACTGGAATACTGGGACGAGGAAACTTTTGGCCTTGATATATATATATATATATATCATTTCGAGTCTCAGTCCCAGTTCCAGTTCCAGTCCCAAAGATTCCAAGCTTTTAGTGCACCATTGCCGCAGTTGTTTATTTGCGTAGGTAGATATAAGATCCGCGCTCGGAGGCAGACGTGTGGGGATAGCACCGAACGAGATGGATGCACTTGGTAGGAGTGGAAAGGCGCGAGTGTGAGTTAGGCAAGCGAAGGGGGTATGTGTGTGAGAGAGATGGATTAAGGGAAACAAAAAAAGTGGGGGGGGGGGGACTCCCCACATAGGTACACAAACCCGACGAACGAACGCCTAGACCAGAGCGGACTCTTAAGGCGATGAATCATTGTGGTATAATAATCGCAACTGAAGAAAGATCGAAGGCCAGCAGCACCAGGGATAGGATTATTCATACTTAGACATATACATACATACACACATACACCCATCGCAGCACCGCGACGGCTTAGTGTCTGTCTGCCGGATGTCGTCCATCCATCCATCCATCCATACGCAAGACAGTACTTTCCAGTTCCATACATACTCCCAGAGTGCAGCAGCATGGAGGGAAGTTAATTTACCGACACATTAGTAACATCCCTCGTGGTTTCATGTGCGTCGTGATGAATCGCTAGGCATGTGGGGATATAGAAGCACGGTGTGGACATGAGGGCGTAGGCACGTGTTGCGAGGCCACTTTCCAGCTTCGGTTGAGGTGGGTGAGGATATGTGGAGAGCGACTCGTAGCTCGTATTGAGGACGGGGTTGAAGGGGAAAAAGGTCGTGAGAAAGTATCGTTGCTTGTGTGCGTATTTGTCATATAGGAGAGAGCCCAGAGGGTGGTTCGAAGAAAAACAGTGGACAGTGGACTGCGGACACTTCGCTTTCCGGAAGTGGGCTTTGATGGTTCTCTTCTGCAAAAAGCTCGTGACCCACGGCGACGATAGAGTAATGTGATGAGGAGCCAGGGGCCGATTTCTCCACAGCTTCGATAGCTATGGTGTTGTGGTCAATTTGTCTTGCTTAACACAGACCTGCAATGGGTGACGATCGGGTTATACGTCCTCGCGCGCGTAGTTGTGGTGATCGAGTTGAGGTAGTCATGCTGTAGCCCGCATGAGAATAAGTTCTCCGATACAGAGATCATACTAGAGGCATTGAACATGGTCTCGTACACATCCAAACTATTAGAAATGGATTGCTAATTGCACACATTGACACCAGCATCACCGGGAATGTTGAAAGATAGGAAGCAATGTCTGTGCAAAAAATTCCCTCATTGAACCCAGTCAGTAGAGATATTATTGGTTCCATAGGCTAAAGATATGTCGAATGCTGCTGGTATGTCCGCCGAAAGGCTGACCCACTTCAGATCCGAAGGTAGAAAGGTACGAGCTCACACGTGGCATGGCCTGCGGAACCCACCGAGCAGCCTCAAAGGCTCGGGACTGACCGACGACAAGTCGGATTGCACATAATCACGAGGGTTTCATTGGTCAATAAGGCTTGGCAGAGGGCAAGGATGCGACCAAAATGTGTTATCCTAGAAACATGACACTTTTGCAATACCGCCAATTTCGTCATATTCCGACCTCATAACCACTGCTGAAAAAGCTAGGTACAGCTGCATCATTTCATCTTTTCTACCTGCTTGATTTTGTTGTTAGCCGTCGTCATGGCGAGCGAGAAAACCTTTATCCGTAGATCGAAGGTCCTTACACACTCTCTGGGGGGCCAAGCCGGTCTACTACGAGAATCGGGCCTCAATGACAACAAAATCGGCATGTCCATTGCTTGGAGCCAGGGTCTGGATAACAGGGTGCTCTGGCGTCGGAAAGAGACGGCGTTGCCTATGGAATTCACCAATCTCATCTATGATGAGACTCTACAAGCAACGATATTTGGGTTGAAGGCAAAAGATGAACTCGCTAGGAGGGCTGAGATGTAAGCCGCCAATTCTTTTGCAGGACACTGTCCCTGTTAAACTAACCTCCTTCTTGTATTGGGCAGAGGATTTGTCAAGGATTCTAGAGATAGCCACTCCAATCAAGCTTGGCGCCCTCCAGCATCTCAGGTCAGTGACACATTCCTAACGTTGTTGATTCAGACGCTTACTATGTGAAGATAAGCTCATTGAGTCTATCATCCTCTCGACTCCTTCTGTCAGTATAACCAGTCGCAGGTGGCTCTATCAGTGATTGATTGACTGGCCACAGCGTCACCATGCTTGGTGGAAACTGTTCAGCCTGTTGCGTGGATCTTGACAGTGTCGCTGGGGAGCATGCCGGCGTATTCGGAAAAGTGCACAGACTAGGAGGGGTCTTGACGCATAGCCCAGCTATATTGTACTGGGCGTCCAATGCGAATCCTTACTCTGGGGTGACGAGCTTTGCCATTGCAGCATCCACCGGTGCCGTCATCCTGAACGAAAGCCAGGGGCGCTGGACCACTGAAATCGGCGAACGGTGTCTTGACGCACCGGAAGTGATGGCTGTGGATTGGCTATCCCCGAACGTTGTAATAAAGGGTTGTAAAGACGGCGGAGTGCGGCTGTGGGACATCAGAAGTCACGGGGAAAGTCGAGAAAGTCGCATTCAGCATGCAAGCCAGATCAACCATGCGAGGAGAATCGATGAGATCACGATAGTGGTTGCAGGACTCGACAGTCAGGTAAGAATTTCTATCGCAGGTAATTCTCAGATTTGCTGACCTCTCAAGCTATGTACTTACGATCTGCGCTTTCCATCTGATCTCGCGACCTCTGGCCAAGTAACACGACCTTACAATCGGTTCCCCTCCTACGAAAACTCCGACCTTGGACATCTGGCAACCGGATTCGACGTTCATGGCGATCTCGTTGCTGCCGTTACAGACGACGCTCGCGTCATAATTTGGGACGTCAAGCGCGGCTTTGAGCTGAAGCAGGCGAGATGGAGAAGTACCAAACCGACAGGGGATGCCATCTGCGTACGATTTGTTAATGGAGGCAACGATAGGGAGGTGCTACGATTGATGACCGCGGCTGGGTTGGCGGTTACTGAATTCGCTTGGTGAGTCTAGAAGTACATGTCCATGTCCCAGTGACTGGAGCATTGGAGAAGGCGGCCAAAGATTAGCACAAGATTGAGTGGAGAAAACACAGAGATTCGCGTCCATTGCAAAGACATTCAAGATAAGGAAACGGTCTCCTCGCTGAGCGAACATTCTTTTATGCTTCATTACCAGCGTGCCCTTGAGATGAAAATTAGCCTCACGACTAAAGGAAAGCAGCAAAGGTGGAAGGTTGCATTTGTTGAATATTGTTCAAGTAGTCGTCTGTCCTTCCTCGTCCTCAGTCGTAGACTGTAGTGGCTTTAATGGATTCTACTTTTTGAGGCAGCCTCCGCTGACAGCAATGGTAAGTGTGCTGTAGATCCAGGCATTGGGCGTTGTCATTGAATCTCTGGAGTCTTTGCGCATAGTCTCTGCTCTATGCATCCATCTGATATAGTAGGCAGAGCCTCATTTTTATGCGTAGGGTGAAAAGGCCATGATCAATAGCATGGCGTGGAGAGTCGGACCGATGCTTAAACATGGAGGTTGGTGGGTCATGCGAGCGGGGTAGACGCAACGTGGGATACTCGTATTGCCCAGCATATGACGTCGACCTCGACGATGGAAGAAGCAAGTTCCCATACAATTAATAAATTCGAAGATGAATGTTCAATCACAAAATACAGTACTTTGCTGTTTATTCAGAAATTGAATAGATGTTGGATCGTAGTGGAAAGGTGTAGAAGGAAGAAATCCAAAAGCCATCTCCGCACTCGGCCCTATTTCTTGGCATCCCTGTCCGCTAGCAGACGCCCAAAGAACCATATTCTCTTCGCCAACATCCACTCTTCATCCATAACACTATCTATCCCAATCAGCTACATAGCAGGTATCCTTGGCCTTCACCGTATGCATCCTTTGCCCACACTTGTCTTTCGCTTTCTTTCCTTGGGATGCTGCAATCGAGTTGGTACGTCTCACACAGACTTCCTTCCAAACAATGCGGGGAAGCTATTCAGCGCGTCAATGCCACCACAATCCTTGAAATCAAGTCCCCAAAGCTGATTTGCTGACCACTGGAAACCAATTGTAGAAAGCCCACCGTGCCACATTCCCAACATCCGGACCCACCTTCTCTCCGCCCAGTAATCGCCTACCGCTCGAGTATCGGAGCTACGGGCCCTTCAACACCATGTCGACGGCACATATGAATGGGTCCATTGAGGACAAAGTCCTAGCAAGTGCAGAATCCACTGGACGAGACATCCGGGATCATATGCTTTTCGAGGTTTCTACCGAGGCCGCCAATCGAGTCGGAGGCATCTACTCCGTGATCAAATCAAAAGCCCCTGTCACCACTGCCGAATATGGCGATCGATACACTCTCATCGGCCCTCTCAATCGTGCTTCAGCTGCTGTCGAAGTCGAGCCCCTCACCCCTACGAATCCCGAACTCGCCGAGACCATAACAAACATGCAGTCTAGGGGCATTGGATTGGTCTACGGCAGATGGCTGATTGAGGGTGCACCACGCATCCTGCTTATCGATACAAAAACGGGCTACCGATGGCTTGATGAGTGGAAGGCAGATCTGTGGCATACGGCTGGTATACCTTCGCCTCCTGGAGATGACGAGACGAATGAAGCAGTGGTCTTCGGATACCTCGTAGCTTGGTTCCTTGGCGAGGTATGGCTCTTCGAGTAAGACCACTTTCGAATGCTGACTTGGTACCAGTTTGTATCTCATGAGCGCAAGCGAGCTATCATCGCCCATTTTCACGAATGGCTCGCGGGAGTGGCTCTTCCCTTGACAAAAAAACGGAGAATAGACGTGACCACCATCTTCACCACACACGCTACCCTTCTCGGAAGATATCTTTGCGCTGGGTCGGTCGACTTTTACAATAACCTCCAGTACTTTGATGTGGATGCAGAAGCTGGAAAGCGCGGTATATACCACAGATGTTGCATCGAACGAGCCGCAGCACACGCTACCGACGTTTTCACCACCGTCTCCCACATCACGGCTTACGAAAGCGAGCATCTGCTGAAGCGGAAGCCTGATGGAGTACTGCCCAATGGCTTGAACGTGAAGAAATTCTCCGCCATGCACGAGTTCCAGAATCTGCATCAACAATCAAAAGAGAAGATTCACGACTTCGTACGTGGACACTTCTATGGCCACAACGACTTCGAGCCGGACAATACGCTATATTTCTTCACGGCAGGGCGGTATGAATACAGAAACAAAGGGGTGGATATGTTCATCGAATCTCTGGCGCGACTGAACCATAGCTTGAAGAGCTCAGGGTCTAAAATGACCGTGGTTGCATTCATCATCATGCCAGCAAAAACAACATCCTTGACAGTGGAGGCCTTGAAAGGCCAGGCAGTCATCAAGTCATTGCGAGATACCGTGGGAGTCATCGAGCGAGAAGTGGGAAAGAGGCTGTTTGATCGATCGCTCCAGTGGCACGAGGGAGAAGATGTGCCCGAGCACAAGGACCTGCTTACTAGCGCTGACCGGGTCATGCTTCGACGACGACTCTTCGCGATGAAGCGAAATACGCTGCCACCAGTCGTCACGCACAACATGGCCAACGACGCTGATGATCCAATCCTGAATCAGATACGCCGAGTGCAGCTGTTCAACCACCCGTCTGACCGCGTAAAGGTCATTTTCCACCCGGAATTCCTCAACTCTGCCAATCCTGTCCTACCCCTCGACTACGATGATTTCGTCCGCGGCACGCATATGGGGATTTTCCCATCCTACTATGAGCCATGGGGCTATACGCCAGCCGAATGTACCGTCATGGGTGTTCCGAGCATCACCACAAATCTCTCTGGCTTCGGATGTTACATGGAGGAGCTCATTGAGAACGCATCCGATTATGGAATCTACATTGTTGATCGCCGAATGAAGGGCATTGACGATTCCGTCAATCAGCTTGCGAGTTATATGTTTGACTTTGCATCCAAGAGTAAGAGACAACGTATCAACCAGAGAAATCGGACAGAGCGCTTGAGCGATCTTCTGGACTGGAAGAGAATGGGTATGGAATATGTGAAGGCTCGGCAACTGGCTTTGAGGAGAGCATACCCAGCTTCATTTGACGACGACTATGACGAGGCAGGCATGTTCGATGCTACAGAGCCTAAGCTTAGCCGGCCGTTATCCGTCCCAGGATCACCAAGAAACCGGTCTGGCATGATGACGCCCGGTGACTTTGCATCGCTGCAAGAAGGCCGGGAAGGCTTGAGTACTGAGGATTACATCGCGTGGAAATTGCCGTAAGCCCAGTCTTTCTGTCACATAGGTTCCATTTCCGAAGTCACCGCTAACGATATTCATAGTGAAGAGGAAGACCCAGATGACTATCCCTTCCCTCTGACCTTGCGATCGCCAAAGAAGTCCACACCGATGGGTTCGCCAAACCCAGGTGTCATGAATGGGGTGTCTTGAGCTTGTCACGCTTTGACTACAACTTGAGGCGCAAGCGAGCACCAAGCCTGCGACTCAATAGCACCTACTCTCATTTAGCTCTTCTCGCATCTTGTACAGCATGTTCTCTGACCTTGTTGCATTCCTGCCTGGTTTTGTTGTTAGTTGAAGCCTTGTAGGATAGGACGATATTGTCTGAATATACTGCTTATCCAATTCAGCTTCGCCTCTTTCTCTTCGCCTTTGTCCATCTACTATTTTTGAACTTTCAGAACCGAGTGTACAGTAACATCAAAGAACACCAAATCACCGCCGTAAAACGGCCCCAAGCCAACCAAAACTAATCACGAGTTCAAACAAGGCGCACTAGATGCGGTACAACGGTGTCCTTCCAGTACAGTTCCCAACTGCCAACGGAACAAAGCGGGACTATCGAGGGTGACGATGAAGCGCATTTGGAGTTTATTCACTTTTTTGATATTCCCCAATTTCCTTTCACCGAAGCCATTGAACACAAAATAATCGATCCCCATGCTCATCGTGCAGACTGAACAATTCCCTATCGTCTCTGTGAGATGAGCAGGGACACTTTGCGCTTTGCGAGGTCCTTGAAATCTCCATTTTCGTACCCCTATCCATCTTTCACTATCTCTTCAGCAACACCAGGCCTACTTCCATCGACAAGCAGCTTCGATCAAATATCGACCGAGCCAAAGATCCGAAGTAAGCCCCAACAAGCCAGATCTTCGCAATCGAAACCAGCCCGAGAAGCCCACCCCCTTAGTCTCAACAACCGTACCAAGACCCCACCAACAACCAACCATGCCCCTCGAAACCCCTTCCCACCCTATCACTGTCCCCAGCTCCGCCACCGTCACCACCACCACCACCACTACATCAGTTACACAACCAATCATCCCCCCCGTCTCCTCCGCATCAAACCCAAAAACCCCACCCCGCCCATCCCGCCAGCTGCTTAACCCGCAAACCCCACCATCGCCAACGCGCACGCCAGCCACCCCTCCATAATCCCGATCGCTCCAAAGTCGATTCGTGACCACGAGGGCGAATGGGCCATCGACACCTTTGCCAGCCCGAAGCTTCGCCTGACCGGGTGTATGTATGTATGTATGTATGTGAGCATGTAGCATACAACAAACCACAACGGGTCCGGGCCGACGTCGCCACGGAAGGATAATCCCGACCGACGGCTTTGACACGCCGCTTGATGAGGAGACGCGCCGTGGAGCCCACAGTCGGAACGGCGCGGATGAAATTCGGTCTTCGGATCTTGTGGTTGGGTCTGTGGTGTGGAAAGCGAGCTCGAGGTCGAATTGACGAAAATGCGAGCGCGTGTCGGGGTTTGCTGTGGGGGTTTGCTGGTGATGATGATGATGATGATGATGATGAAGGAGACGGGGATGAAGGGGGTGGAGATGTTTGTGAGGGAGTTTTGGTTGTGGGAAGAGCGATGGGTTTGTTTGGTCGGTGTTGCGTGCGCGGGTGGGTTGGAGTGCTGGGGGGTGTGAGTGGGTTGGTGGGCGGTGGGTTTGAAAAGGGTAGGTTTGGGGAAGGTATGGTATGGTGGGTTGAGATGCTTGATTTTTCTCTTCTTGGTTTTCTTTTCTTTTGACTGGTTTTCAATGTGCAATGTGCGTTTACTGAGAGGGTCTCCGGCAAGGGGAATTGGTAATTTTGATAGACTTTTAGCACATCACTGTCTTGAGTTTGGTTTATATCGGTTGTTGCTGAGAGCTTTCATTCTCTCGCTTCAGACGCGCCGTCTTTGTAGCGTATGATGAGGAGTAGCTTCTTTTAAATTCCTGATCCCCCCGTATACCTCTGGTATCATTAGATCGCTCCTCACTCAATGTATTCATCATGCGAAACGAACACTCATTCGTGACACTGCTTTTCAATACTGTGGAAAAGAGCATGAAGTCAGTGGAAAAGCGGTTTACTAGGAAAGGATCTGTAAGAAGTCTCTATTACCTTGGGCAGGAGCTGATCAGGATAGACCACATTTTCAAACGTGGCCGTGCAATGGTTGAGACATTCAACAAATCATCGAGTATGATGCCAAAATTTCTTTGAAGTCAAATAAATGCATAATGCCTTGTCGGCAGTGCGAAATCGCTGAGTGTTTACACTACACTCCTTTTGGGTCACCGCCTAGTTTCTCCTCGCGTTCCCCACCTAAGTACCTTCAACGACAGTCCTTTCTTTTGCAAACTATGAAGCATACTAAGCAGCTTCCGCTAACCTTAACAGAGCTCATCGTTCCTCTTTATCGTCAGAAATCCGACCTCTTGACCTCGACACTTGCACGTACTGTTCTCTTCGTGCTGGGAGCTACAACGGGAGAGTGTACATCGTCTTTCCTTTGTTTAGAACAATCACTTCCTATTGTGCTCATTGTGAGCCAACTCTCCAACTTGTCCTGCTTAAATACTGTTCTTCGTCGCTCCATTGCTCTTCCTTCCTCACACATCGCAAGCCTCACTCATCATCAGACCGTTCAGACCACTCGAATCCAAAAGAACAGTCATCAGCATCAAATTTCACCCGGACAAGAGCCCGAAACATCTCAGAAATGTCTCACTACCCACCACCCCCAACGCCACACCTGCGTAGACGTGGCAACGACGCCTCAGGATACGGGCAAGCGTCACCGAATCTGCACCAGGCATTTATGAGGACTGATCCTCGACAGGCATCTTCCGACCGTAGCAAATCTTCCTTTGACGGGCGAAGTAGCGGTAGACAGGCGAGTGAGCAAGCTGTTGATGAACATGACCGTCGTCCGCGACTTACGATTCAGCTGCCGACGCCCAAAAGTTCGCCAGAGCCGGAAGTTTTGCAGAGCCCGAGGGACTTGGCGCGGCTAAGTCCTGTCGATGCGGAGACGGCTTTGGTGGATCGGTTTAGGAAACCCGTCTCCAAAGTGTCTCACCCTGCCTGTCTCACCCCCGGACAGCGTTCCACCACGCAGGATGCGGAAGAAGCTCACCCAAATGAAGAACAAGTCAACAATGCAAACGGGCCCCTCGCTACCCGCGCACGAATCTCAGACGGTGATTCTCCGACCTTGGATTTGGCCGCAAGACAGCTGTTTCAGCAGGCGGTTCCGCCTGGCTTCAACACCAACACTGACTTTGGTGACTTTGGCCGGGGTTTGCAACCCTCAGCGGCCGCCGTAGCCGAATCTTCTCGCCGTAATCGAGCTACGCCAGCTCACCAGCGTCCACACTGGGTTCCCACAAGTGAAGACTATCCCAGTGTCCCCTCGAATCAAGGGATTGGGTCTCGATACCCCGCTGAAGCTAGGCGAGTTCCTGCCAGCAGACGCGCTAATGGCCGCGCAGATGCTGTACAGGATGAGAGTAAGGGTGCTCTCGGCACGGAAGGGGACGTCGCGATGCGGGTAGAGGTAATTCTGCACGGAGATGGATACCGTCTCCGCGACTCCCGACATCATCCGGACATCTTCCAAGAAATAATTCCAGCAACCCCAGCCGTAAGTAATACAGCTGACATTTCCGAAACCCATCTCGGCTATGGACGGCAGGCTCATCGAAGCAGGAAGACCCCATCACATCATTCCGAGTCAAATGCAGACATTGCTTCGATATCTTCCACAGAATGCCAGCCATCCACCACTGCATCCCCACCCTCCTTCTCCCCTGCCTTCTCCCCGCCTCCACGCGTATCTTGCGACATCGTGGCGCGCAACCCGATCCCCGCCACCAGCCAGCGCTACTTCGGACCCGAGAACGGGGGCCGCGCGGATATCGACGATGGCGAAGAGGCTACTGTGGTAGATATTGGCGAGAATGCAGGTGCAGATGCGCGTAAACGTAGACTCAGTCTGCAGATGCAGGAGTGGCGGGTGTGGAGCAAGGAGCCGGAAAGACCTGAGAAGTGGTCCATCGATTTTGACGAGGTTCAGCATAGGGGAGACGAGAGATAGAAGGGGGAGGGGAGTGGAGACGGTGAGTGATGGGTTCGAAAGGATAAAATTGAAGCTGAGAGATGTGTGGTGGTACGTTCATTCAGGGCTTAGTTCCTCTTTTCTTTGCTTCAGGTTGCTTGTGTTACTGATATCGCCGCTGTTGTTGTTGTGTTTCTGTAAAGGGTGAGGAAGAAACAATGGGCGGGAGATGAGATGGGATGAGGTTTGAGCACGGCTGTAAGTTGCTACTGGCTATCCAATTGCATCCATAGACTGGCACATTAAATACCGATTCGGAAAGTAGTCAGACTTTACAGGTAAGAAAATGGTTGCTGCGCAGAAGCCTTCCACCGACTGGCCTGTGACGGACGTCTCGTTCGACTTAGCACCACCAGAGATCTTACAATAGGTTCCTAGTCGGATGCGGTACTCTTTTCAAACCTACCTTTGAGACGACTCTGACATCAACCACACTTCCTTCGTAGGAAGTGCGTTGATGATTAGGTACGAAATATACATCCTCATAATCCGGTCACAAACCGCCGGAATGCTGGCCAAGCGAGGACGGATGATCAGTGTTGGAATCAGCCAATAGGAGGCCAGCATTTCTACACACTACTAAGTTCCAAATAGGTGTTGTGACTACGCCTTATAGTGGCAAATAGCCTTAGCGTGGCTTCACACCATAGATAGGTAATCACCTCTATTTTTACTATATACTTCTTTATAGAATATAATAATAAATAATTATTCTACATTAATATGAGATTATTAAGTATATATTATTTTTAATAGATTATAAGCTCGAATTTTCGCTATCGTAATCTCTACATTATTAACTAGAAATATTTACTTATTTAATAATTTAGTATTATGAAAGTTAAACGAACATTTTTATATTCTTATTATATATTTTTCTATTTACTCTTTTATTCTTTCTTTAATAGATAGCTATATAAGATAATTATATAGATATTTAATATATATATAACTATATTAATTTAAATCTAGAATTTTCTAAAGTTAAAAGGTTAAGAAAACTATTAGCTATAGTTAAAGAAGATAAAGAGTATTTTAAAGTATTACGATTTATAAGACGTAGTAGAATAAGAATTAATATTATTTCTAGACGATTTATTAGAGAAAGTTATTATTATAAATATATTAGCTAATAGAATTTATTATATAAAAACTATTATATTAAGATCTATTAATTAATAGATTTTAATTTATAATATCGAGAAAAGATTTAAAAGAACCTTAATAATTAAGTATTAAAACTTATTTATTTAATATATAAGAATAAATTAATTAAAGTAATAGAAGATAAGAAGATAGCTATAATTAGATAGAGTAAACTTTAAACGAATTATATAAACTTTAGATTTATTCTTCGCTTTATTAAGTTATAGAAATTATAAAATATTATTATAATTAATAATAATAACTCGATTAAGATTTATATTATTAATATATATATAAAATCTAAGAATCTTAAGTATATAAGAGCTTTAATTAATAGATAAATTCTTATTATTTTATTATTAAATAATTTAAATAAAAAGTATAAGAACTTTATATATCGTCTTATTATATAACCTAATAATATATTAAACTTTAATAAAATTATTATACTTCTTTATAAAGAAAATTATCTTCTTAAATAAAATAATAAGAAATAAATTATAGTTGTTATTAATATTACTGGCCGGAAAGGTATGATATGGTATGGAATATTGACCTATCATATCATACTCTGATATGGTATGGGATATTGATATTTGCATAATTCCATACCTGGTATGATATGGGATCTTGGCGGGATATCCTACGGTATGGTATATCTGTGGTATCATACCATGATATGGTATATGTATGGGATATCCCGACTGGGATTTCTATATTTAGAAGTATAAGTAGCTATTCTAGTCATCATTCTGGCCAACCATGGCTACTACTACCATGGCTACCACTACTATGGCTACTACTATCATGGCTGCCACTACCATGGCTGCCACTACCATGGCTACCTACCATGGCTGCCCCCTACCATGGCTACCCCTACCATGGCTACTACTATCATAACTACCACTACCATAGCTACTATATGATAGTAGGCTATTTCAATAATAAATAGTAATAGCTATGATAGTGGTAGCCATAGTAGTGATAGCTGTTAAAATGTCAGGTATGTGATATATAGAACGGACGGATCAATTCTCTAAAACCTCTCCGGGGCCAGGGCCTAAATATAGTACAAAATCAGATGGCTGGAAGACATGGTGGCTAGGATGCGCGGGGGCCACATTTCGATGGTAGGCATAGTAGTGGTAGCTATGATAGGAGCAGTCATGGTAGGTAGCCATGGTAGTGGCAGCCATGATAGGGGTAGCCATGGTAGGGGCAGCCATGGTAGGTAGCCATGGTAGTGGCAGCCATGGTAGTAGTAGCTATTATGTCGGATTTATCGAGCCGTTGATCAGAATGATGACGAGAATACTTCTAAATATAGAAATCCCAACCGGGATATCCCATACATATACCATACCATGGTATGATACCACAGATATACCATACCGTGGTATATCCCGTCAAGATATCGAACCCATACCAGAAAAATGGTATGGTATCCGACCCTACCCATACCATACCCGGGTACGGTATGGTATCACTTGATATGGAATATCCCATGGAATATATTATATCTTTTCGGTCAGTAGTTATTATAAAGAAATATTATAAGAAATAGAAGAATAAGAAGACTTTTAGAGATAATAATAATTTAGAATATAGAGATAATACTTTAGAATAAGATTAAGGTAAAAATAACGATAAAAATAATAACTATAACTTTAATCCCCTATTAAATAACTCGAATAGTATCTACTATAAGAAATTAGATAACGTATTTAAGTATTTAAAGTATTTACTACTATTAAATAAGAGTAAGAAGAGATATTAGCTATATAGCTACTAAATTCTTTATAACGAAAAGATATCTAATTAATTTCGAAATAATAATAATAATAATAATAATTCGAACTTTAAGTCTAAAGCGAATATGGCTAATACTATTAATAAGTCGAACGATTTTATAAATTAAAATTATACTTATATTTTAGTAATAGTCTATATTATAATCGATAATAAAGATACTATAAGAGATAAAGAGTATTAGAATTATTTAGTTAATAGCTTAATATTTAAATTAGATAAAGAAATAATAAATAAAGAGCTTAAAATTAAGTCTCTCGATTATCTTTTAATTAAAATAGCTAAATTATAAGAATTATAGAAGAATATAGAAAATTAGTTAATATCTTAGTTTAATATTAATCTAAAATTAGATAATAAGATAAATCGAGAGATTAAAAATATCCTTAACTCTCTACTTAATTCTCTAGAGAACGAAATAATTAACAAATTATTATATAAATATCTAACTTATTTTCTCTTCTATATAGTATATATAAATAGTTAATCTACTATTATATATAAATAAATAATAAACTTAGACTATATTAATTATATATTCTTTAATAAAAACGAGTTTATTAATTATTAGCTATATTATATAAATATTATAATAGTTAATAAGATTATTATTTAAATAAAGAATCGCGATATAGTCGAAATAAAATAGCTATTATAGAATAAATTTAGTAATATTATAAAAGTTAATAAAGTTTTATATATTTCGAATCTTATATATAAACTATTTTTAATTAGTTAGGCTATATGAAAAGAATTTAAAATTATCTTTCTTAGTAATAACTATTATATTCTTTAAAGTAGCAAGCTTATTAATAGCGCTTCGAAGATAAATAATACCTATATTCTTAGTATCTTATAATCTATAATTAAGATTTCGATATTTATTTAGAAAAAGATAAGAATCTTAATAATAAGCTTAATATTTAATAAGAAAGCTATTAAGCTATAATACTATCGAATAAGATATTTAAATAAAATAAATCTTAAGAGATTAGTTAATATAAGTAAAGATATTATACTAATTTAGAAACCTCGAGTTAGATTAATATATAAATGTCTATTTTAAAATTAAATCTATATGAAAAATTTTAAGAAGAGTATAATATAAGATACTCGAAAAACTTAATAAGATTTATATAAACTTGGAAGAATCTTTTAATATATTATTTATTAATAGAGTTAAGTACTATATACTTTTAATTAATTAAATAACTCTTTAAATTTAATACTTTATATATAAGTATAAAAACGAGATCTTTAAGTTATTTTATAATTAGAAAACTTAGATAGAAAATAAATTCGATTATAAGATTAAGATAGTTCGTTTAAATAATAATATCGAATTTATTAATAGTAAGTTTAAAGAATATTTTAAGAACTTCGAAATTATATAAGAGTCTATCGTATTCTATACGTCTAAGTAAAATAAACTTAGCGAGATATAAAATCGAATTATTATAAATAAGATAAGGACTATACTTTTTAATTCGAAGTTATTTCGCTATTTATAATTAGAATTACTTTATATTAAAGTATATTAAAAGAATAAAAGTCTTATTATCTATCTTTAAGATATAATATTATATAAGATATAGATAAACGAATAACTATATCTCGACTATATAAAGATTATCGACTATATTATCTAAATATATATATCTAAGAAAAAGTATAAGAAGCTTAATAAACGTAGTAAGAAGTATTATCTAATTAGCTACGAAGATATAAATATCTTTTAAATATAGAACTTAATTACTCGATAAATAAAATAATCCTTTTATATCGATTTTAACGAATTATAAATAATAATTACTACGATTTTAGATATTAATTATTAGCTAGTTAAGGCTATTAATAATAATATAATAGATATATTTAATAAAAAGAGTAACTCTATAGTATATTAATATATATCTAAGATTGTTATTAATATTAATACGAGCTCTATTAATATAGATAAAATTAGAAATATTCTTTTTAATAAAAATATTAGAGAAATTAAAGAAGTTAAAGATATAGAAGAT